GAGCTTTGTTTTTAACTTTTTAGTTTATTTATAGATCTTATTCAACTAGTTGAGTTTTATTTGTTTTGTTTTTTTTTAATATTATGAAGATACTGTGGAATTCAAAAGATGTTTAGGTTGAGCATTCTCAATATGTAAATCTGAAATCCAAAATGCTCCAAAATAGAAATATTTTGAGCACTAACAGGATGCCACAAGTGGTGAATTCCATACCTGACCTCATGTAACAGGTCATAGTAAAATGCTGCCATACAAAAATATCATATAAAATCACCCTTAGACTATGTATAAGATGTGTGTGTGTGCACATATAACAATTTTGTATTTAATTGTCTCATCTCCAAGATATCTCATTATGTATATGTAAGTATTTCAAAATCTAGAAAAATCCAAACTACTACTGGTCTCAGACATTTTTGATAAGAGATACTGGCCCTGTCTTGTGTGATCTCTGCTTTCCATTTGCCTGTGATAGCCTATTAAGAGATTACCACGCTATGTATAGTACAAAGTAGAGGAGACTGTGTCTTAAAGAAGACATGGAAAAAGTTAAGGGAGGAGGAGAAACTATGTTAAGTGGGGCTGAATAAAGGAAAGCCTAAGGAAACCTTCATGGAGAAATTGTAATTTAGAGTTTGCCTCGAAAGATGACTTTGGTGATGTAGAGAGAGGGGAGAGAAGTCAGACGTGGTAACATGAAAGATTTGTTAGCATATTTATATGAATCGTTTTAAATTCAGTACATTTTGAGTAAGAATTATATTCGAGAATAATATCAAGGATATCAATGGATACAAAGAAAATAGGTAACAATAACTTTTCCTCAGATCCTCCCATTGTCCCACTCCCAGGTCTCATCACAATAAAACTTTTGCCATAGTCCCTCTTGTCTTCAGGACCCTGTTTGTATAAGCAGTTTCTGGAATGTGGGTGAGCCATTCTTTTCCTAGCAAGAAGGCTTATTTTATCTTTCTTCATCATAGCTTGTTCACTCTGGTGTTTTGTTTTGTTTTCTTTGCCTAAGTATACTCACTCTGTAACACTACCTCCCTACTACCACTTAGGAGGAGGATAGGTTGTAGGCCACAGTTACCTGGATTAGTTGGGGTGAAAAAGTGTAAAACAAAACAAAACTAGATTTTTCTTATATGTATACCAGATTTTTCCTTCCACTTCATGCTTTCTTGATTAATTTGGTTTAAGAATGAGGATCCCTTCCACCCCCATATCTTTTGACTTAATTGTACACTAAAGTTTCTTAAAAATGTCAAAATTGTGTGGAACCAGTCAGTTGTCAGGGTCACTTATGCAGTGGAACCTTAGACAAATAACCTTTATGGGCTTCCACACTCATTTTGATCCTTTGGCCACTGCTATGTTGGAAGCTCAAGCAGTGGGAAAAGAAATGTAAGGACAGGTTCAAAGAGTTGAAACTATGTTGCAAAAGTTGTCTGCCAAAAACCAGTGCTGAAGTCTTAAATGAAATAGTTTTTTAAATTCAAAAAATATTAACATGAGTTGTTGAGGAGATTTGAATCCAAAGGGGGATCAACTGTATGTGAAATTGCATTTTTTTAAATCACTCTTTTTTGGTAGACTTACATGAAATCACAAGAGGAGGGTATCTCCCTGCCCTCCCTGAATTTGAGCCCGTTGTTTTTAAAACAAAACAAAATAAAAAGAGTTGAATTAAATTCTAATGATACAAATGGATGGAACAATGAAAAAGGCAGGACAGTTCAAAGAGACTTCAGGGTGAAGTGATAAACTGATAATAAAACCAGAAACTAACCTGAAACCAGTGCTGAAGTCTTAAATGAAATAGTTTTTTAAATTCAAAAAATATTAACATGAGTTGTTGAGGAGATTTGAATCCAAAGGGGGATCAACTGTATGTGAAATTGCATTTTTTTAAATCACTCTTTTTTGGTAGACTTACATGAAATCACAAGAGGAGGGTATCTCCCTGCCCTCCCTGAATTTGAGCCCGTTGTTTTTAAAACAAAACAAAATAAAAAGAGTTGAATTAAATTCTAATGATACAAATGGATGGAACAATGAAAAAGGCAGGACAGTTCAAAGAGACTTCAGGGTGAAATTATAAACTGATAATAAAACCAGAAACTAACCTGGCCCACCTGTTGAGGCTGCTTCCAGAAGTCTTTCAGCCCTTGAGTTGTACATATTTTAGACTTATTGAAGTACCAAAGCAAAATATCTTACACATTTTACAAAAACATTCAGAAAAATGAAAAGCATGTTTTGCAATTAAATATTTTTGTGCTTCTCTTTCCATTCTTTTTTCATCTCCTGTTTGACATTTTCCCTTTTTAAAAAGAAAAAAGCATCACATCTTGGCAGCTTGAGCTCTCAGAAGCAGGCAGTCCTCTGAACTTGCAAGAACTTTCTAGTTTCGATAGCTATAATGAGTTTAAATCACTCTATTGCAGTTCTCGTGACCTAATAACTCTGTAATTAACAATACTGATTATCTCTCTTCTACAAACTTCAGTGTAGATATGGGAGTCCTTTAGAGTAATATACTTCATTGAAGATACATCAAATTTCAAACAATAGCTTTCTGGTTAGTTCTGTTCACCTACATGGATACTTTCTTCCTCTCATTAAATTGCCTACTCCAATTTCTCTTCGAATTCAGGAAAAAGTTATCACGTATGTAAATGATTTGCTTTTTATTTAACCGTTGCTCAGAGAAGACAAGAAAGTACAAACATAGCAATCTGTGCCTCACATAAAAGAGTATCGTATTTTCCTTAAATACATTTTCTATCCTCTAAAAACTTGTTTAAATGGTCCCGGTCTATGTTCATGTCCTGGTTTTCATCTAATCACCTTATTGGTCATATAAACCTATTGTCATACATTTGAATTTCTCCTACCTGTATTTGGTGAAAGAATCCCTATGTGCTTGTTGGCTGCTCTTAAAAGTCACTAGTTTGTCATCCTGTTGTGTTCTTCTGTTACACACAGTCAGAACTTCATAGATGCTCTCGGTGGTAATTCCAGGAAGGGCAAAAACTGTCCTTTACTTCCCAAGCCCTTTTTGGGTCGTTTTTGAACTTTATACTTTTTTATACAAAGCTCTGCTGAATCACATGCTGGCTACCGAATGATGGTCTGCCTTCTGATTCATTTCCAGGAGGGAATGAATTTCTGTTGTTTTCCAGCAGTCAGTGACTTTTTGAGAAGTGGATGGAGATCGAGGAATTTCATTTATTTGATCCCATGTGTTAATATGAGAATGGAATGGCACCTTGGCAAGAACATTTGCATTGGGATGACTCAAAAACAAATTCTTCAGTAGTTTTAATTAATAAATCTAAATAGCATGTTCATTTTAGAAGGGAAAATGATATCATATCTACCTACTAACTAGTAATGTTAACATTCCACAGAAGACTGTCTTATACCATTGATCTTGGCTCAGTGATAGTTTTTTAAATTATGTAATTATGTATGATTATTGTAGCTTTATTGATTTTTTTATTCTGTTTTGCTCCTTTTTAAAATTGACTCACCTGTGTATTTTTATCAAAACCCAGAGAAACATAGCTCTCTTTTTCTATGAAGACACTTCTTATCAATCCTCAATTCTTTTCCTTTAATTTTTACTCATACGCTTTTTCCTAGTTTTTAACAGTGAGTGTACACATGTGATCATACGTTTTCCTGCTCATTTCTTTTTTCTTTTTCATTCCCAAGTCATAGCGTACCTTGAGTTATAGAGTGTTCTAAATGTGGCAGCCTTTTTTCACCGTCATGTCTACCGGTCACATATTCTTGACATCATATAGATAATTTACCAGTTCACTGAATCTTTATGCTATAACAACAGCTCATATTTCTGTAGGTTCCCTGGAGAACACACAATCCAACATTCTTTTCTACCTGTTAATATATAGGAAAGACTTAGGACTTTTAATACTAGATCACAGGCCAGCGGGTGGCACGGTGGTTAAAGTGTTGTACTCCCACATGGCCAAACGCAGTTGGAGTCCCAGTGACTTGAAGTCATGCCAGGTGCATTTGTTTGCATGCCCAAAAATCTCGAGAAGAGAATGCAGGAGAGAGGATGGTGGCATGGCCATACCCCCCTAGGAATTGTTTTTCACTTTACCTCTCTTAGTCTATGGGAAATTACTGAATTTTCAAAAGGTCTTTCTTTCATCTTATGTCTAGTACTTACTTAATTATCTGCTGCTGCTCTATCTCACCTGACCTAAAATCCAGCCTTAGCAAACTGCTCGCTCACTATCTTCTAATGCACTTAACATTCTATTTTATACTTCAGTAGATCACCTTAGATCTTATTCTCCTCATCCCACCCCACAAAGCATCCCATTTTCACTGTCTGTCAGGGACAACTTACCTTTCAAACTCCAACTCTAGGTCAGCCCTCCCCTGAGGCTTTTCCTGACACTAAATGTGTCTTATGTAATTCTGTAATTGACTTCAGCCCTCCTTTGTGGCCTCAGTTTCACCTGTGATTGCCTAAAACTCTTCACTGGACATAGTTCACACTTCTGTCTCCTTTTTCACTGGCCTGATAGCCTTAGTAGTAGTGAACACGCATCTTTTTCTTTTATCACCCTTGACCCATAGGAGAAACTCTGTAAGTAGTTTGTTAAATAAATAAATAAAAATGCTTTAATGTGAATATTCCGGGAATATAATTGTCATTACTGTTATATTGGGTTGTTGGGAAAGTCATGAAGCATTTTGCATAGAAAAACAGAAAATACATCATGATTTTCCCAATGACCTAATAGTTTTGCATATTTTAATATTGTAATCATTAGACTTATTTGGTAGTTATTCACCTAAAGTATTATTTTTACAAAAGCGGATCATAAACTCAAATAAATATGTAGCTTTTGCTCTGATTTAAAAGAATATTGTTTTATGCAAGAAGTTGGAAACAGGAATTACAAATAGACACTGTTCCAAAAGGCCACTTACAATCTTAGTTATCAGAAATTTGGAATATACTTTCTAAAACAAGTCAAGCTAAGCAAGTGTTAGTGGTGGTGAAGATGATTATTATTATCATAATAATTATATTTTAGTCATGTACTTACAAAATACTCGTTTAAGCCATAATTTCCTACAACCCAAGAACTAGCCTTGTTTTCTGGAGGAGATACTTGAAATAGGGCAGTGATGTGATTCAGGAAGGAAGAGTTTTTTCCACATTTATCTCTGCTGAATTCTCTTTGTTGTCCCTTTACTCTACTTTTCTCTGCTCTTTCTATTTTATTTTTGAGTTGAAAGAGTGGTGTGGTAGGATTTTGTGAATGGAGAGCCAGCCAGGCTCCATTCACTTATTTACTTACTTATTTCTTCCTTTCCAGAGAAAGAGAGAAACAGACAGGCACTCTCACCAAGCAAAATTCTCACACCACAATCAACCCCCACCATAAACCAACCCAGTCTCACACAGGTGTGGACCTAGTGTGTACGGCGAGGCCTTGGGAGGCAAACCCACAATTTTCCCACATGGGGCTAGCATCACAAAACATTGCATTGCTGCTATGCTAGAGGTGGTCTCTGAACATTGCAGCATCTTAAAGAAGAAGTTATAAAGTAGAAAGATTGTGAGGAAGAGAGAGAACTAGGCACTGACACTGTCACTTCACCCATAAATCTCTGACTTTTCTTTTTTTTTTTCCAACCATAGTCAAGATGACTGAACTATCAATAGTTGAACATTCCCTAACCTTCTGTAAATCTGTGAACCCTTTCTAAGTAATATGTTTCCATGATTTCCTCATAGAACTTTTGAAAAATTTTTTTCATTTTTACATAATACAATAAGTGGTTTTAAGTTAAAAATATACTATATCAGTATATTATTAAATAGACATTTTATTATAAAGTTCATTTTAGTATATTCTGTAGTCATATTTATATTTTATAAAGAAAAATATTTTATTTTTGGTATGTAACAGGTGATATATATATATTAATTACATAGAAAAATATATTTGCGGGGCCAATAGGTGGTGTGGTGTTTGGGGGCGCTAGATTCCTACATGGTCGACTGCAGTTCGAGTCCTGAACCTGGTGGCTTGCTTTCTCACTTTTTCTCTCACTTTCTCACTCTGATCATCTCTAGTCAAATTAAAATAAATAAATAAATAAATAAACAAAATAAATAAAGTTAAATCAAAAATAATTCTTTAAAAAAAGAAAAATGTATTTCCTGAGAAAATGTTAAATGTTTATTGTATTTTTCTATGTGTTAAGGAATCAAAAGTAGTCAAAACTGTTCCTGTTGCTTTCTAAATGATGAGACAAGATAGAATGTTTCAGGATTCTATTTATAGGCACTTTTCCTCCATTTCATATTGCAAGTATTGTTAATCAATCAGGATAAAATCTTTATATATTGAGATATCTTCTTTTTTTATGTAATTTGATCAATGAATGCAATTCACAATACAGTTATTTTGAGGGGATCCTATAGAAATAGTTATTTTTATAGTCTTCCATAATTTTTTGAAGTTGAAAATTTGTGATCCTAGGACCAGCAGTTAGCGTAATGGCTATGTTGCTGAACTCCCATGTAGGTGACCGCGGTTCGAGTCCCAGACGCTGTGGCTTAAACTCACGCCGGGCGCGTGTGCATGCATGCCCAGGATCCTGAGAGGAGAATGGAGGAGAAGGGATTGCGGTGTGGCCATCCCCCCTGGGGGGTGATTTCTCGCTTTCTGTCTCTCTGTCTCTCTCTGTCTTTCCGGCGAGCACACGCACCCTGTAGCAAAAAAAAAAAAAAAAAAAAATTGTGGTCCTTATGCTTCATATCTTTCATCAGTGTTCCATAATCAAAAGAAAATAAACATACTCTACTCAAAGTCATAATTACCATGAGGGTCTAACCCTTTGTCCCATCAGTGTCAGCTGATGTATTAACTATGTGTTGGTGGCTGTTCACTAACACTCGTGTGAACTAAACACACTGAGGCTCTCCACATTTTGTTTTAAAGGTCTACAAAACTTGAAACTTAAACAACTATGATTACAGAATAAGAAGAAATTAGAACAGAGGCTTTTAACAATCTGAAACTGAAATACCTTCACCTCTCTGGAGTGGGAACATATTGGAAGTTTTGTTCAGCTGTGTGGTTTTTGGACAACAGAGCAGAATATTCCAGTGATGTAGTGTGGGGGAATAGACAGCCTGTCATTCCCCTGGAGAACATGAGCTTCATTCCTGGGGAGAGTGGCAGCTGAGCAGCAGGAGCAGGAAAGTCACAGGAAAGCTGAGGGTGCTCCTGAGAGCAGGAAGAGCTGTGAACTCGTAAAATTCAGACCCGGGTCAGAAAACCCCGTTGTGTCCTCTTATCCTTCAAATATTGTCTTCATTATTATAATAATACATAAAATTGTTTTGGAATAATCTATGCATTTATAGAAAAGTAGTAAAGATAATAGGGAGGAATTATATGTATACCCAACATCCAGTTTCATGTAATGTTCCTTTCTGACATTATCATGGTACATTTGTCAAAAGTAGAAACCAGCAGTGGTACATGGGACATTTAGTCTTCATTTGGGTTCCACCAGTTTTTCCACTAATCCCTTTTTGTTGTTGTTGTTCCAGGATCCCATCCAACAACCCACACTGCATTTAGTCATCACATCCTATTAGTCTTTTCTGGTCTGTGACAGTTTCTTAGTCTTTTTTTATTTCTCACAACCTTGACAGTATTAGAATAAATGGCCAAACATTTTGTAAAATAACCCTCTATTTTAGTTTGTCTGCTATTTTCCCATGACCAGACCAAAGTTGTGGTTTGGAGGGGAAGACTCCCAAAGAGCCATTCTCGTCACAGCTGAGGGAATAGCATACATGCTATCAACATGACATCACTGGAAATGCTAACCTGTATTACCTGACCAACAAGGCACTTACCATGTTTCTCTATGGTAAACACTATTTTCCCTCTTTCCATTCTCTGTTCTTCAGATGTAAGTCACTAACTATCCCACACTCAAGGTCGAAGAGTGGGAATTAAAGTTCCATGTCTGGAGTCAAGC